CCAAGCTATCCCCACCCCACCTCCATAGAACCTTGGCCTTCAGGCTTCAGGCCCTTTGCAGGTGCTATTCCCTCTGCCAGGTATGCTGTCCCGCAGAAGTGAGCATGGCTGCATTTCTGAAGTGACCTGGCAAAAGGAGTACACCTACCCCCACCCCACTCCACCCCCAACCACCCAGCCTAGGAGGTGGTGGTTTCTGAGGGTCAGCTCAGAGGGTGGAGCCTGCCGGTCCTGCCAAGAAGGTAGAAGTTGCCCCGTAAATGAAGATGACTAAGTGGGGAGAGAGTTAATCATGGAGGTGGGTGGGGCTGACCCTGAGGTGCTAGGAGAGGGAACAGGTAATGAGTGGGGAGTGTGGGAGCAGGGCTGGAAGCAGGAAGTAGTCATTTCTCCCTCCCAGCTGTGTCAGAATGCAGACAGCGCACAGCTGGGCTTCTGGGAAAAGAAGCCTCAGCGGCCCAGCCCGGTCCTGACCCGGGCCCAGACCTGCTGGGCAGCTCCGGGGGTGGAGATGCGAGCTCCGACGCCCTCGGGGGCTGGAAGTTGGTAGATGAGGAAGGCTAGGAGGAGAAAGCCAGCTCACCCCCTCTTGACCTTCCCAGCACCTGACCCCGGATTCCTGCGGGGCTGTGTGACTTTGAGAGCATTGCTGGCCTAAGAGCTCAACTGCTCTGAGGACTCAGTCCCACCTCTCTGGACTGTGAACCGCAGGGTCAGAAGGTCAGATCCGGCTCTCCTCGTCTTCGGCGCTACCTATATTTTTTACATCGTGCCATTCCGAGCTGCCGACTCGAGGAGTAGCGGTAGCAGGCAGTAAAGCAAGGCAGAAGAAGAAACTGAGGCCGGGGTGGGGGCAGGACTAGCCCAGGTCACACAACTCAGACAAATCCTAGCGATCCAGCGGCCCCTGCGTGCCAGCCTACCCTCGAGAGCAGCATTGCTCTGCAGTCGCCCGCAACCTACGCGGCCCGCATCCTCGCTTGCTTCTTCACTGACTCTACAAGGGCCCAGGGCAGGGAGGGGCGTCCAGCCGGCTCAGCCGACCCTGGGGGCCACGGAGAGCTCGAGGTGGGCAGCATTGTCCTGCATCTCGGTCTGGGAGGTGGAGGCGAGGCGTGGCCTCGGTTTTCCCGTCTGCGCCCCGGAGCAGCGGCCAGCACTGCCCCCTAGCGGTAGAGGCAGGGATCGCGGAGCCTCCAGGGCGCGGCGCCTGGGAGGGTGCCAGGTCCCGGGCCGCCGAGCTCCAGGAATCCGCTGGGTCGGCAGGTTCGGGACCCAGTGCTGACAGTGCTACCCATTCCTCCAGCTACGTACCCACCGCAGGCCCCTTCCTACGCAAGTTTGCTGCCTGCACTGAAATCAGGCCCCGTCCTGGCCACCCCACCCTGCGGTCACTCCGGGGCTCCTCTGCATCCTGCAAGGCGCTGGCCTCCCTGTACTCCACGGCCCGCTGCTCCTCTCGTAGTGAGGCTGGTCCTGCCAACCCTACCTCTCCTTGGGAGTCTCATAGGCTTCCAAGCTTTGGGTTGTGCAACACTTCAGTTTGCAGTGCTTCAAGGTGCTGGCGAGGGCTGTGTCGACACGCCGACAAGGCGGTTCCCCCTGCCGGCCAAGAAACACACTGGCCTGTGACTGCACAGTGCCCTCTGCCTGCAGGCGAAGGTGGCCCAAGTCCAGCGCTCTGCACAATTCCACCTCTCTCTTCCGGTCTCGGAGCTAAGCGTGCTCTGCTCCTGGAATGCTGTCCTCCCAGCCTAGCTTGCTCACCAAGCATAATTACACCGCCAGGGAGCTTCCTTGGTCCCCTCAGGCCCTGGCCTGGCCATCCCCAGCTGCACATTCGCGAGGCTCCTGGGCGCCTGCAGGGCCGAGGGCTGAACACAGGACTAACACAGACATGGAAGCCAGAACAGCATACGTAAGGAGAGGGCTTTGCCGGACCCACCTGGCACCTAGGAGGCAGATATCGGTTGTGACCCTACAGCCTGCACCGCAGTGTCACTGCTTCGGGTCAGGGAACCCCAGTGAAACACCAATAGAGCACACAGAGTGTTCATTGCTGTCGAGATAAGACATCAAGGTTCTCTGGAAGCTGTCTTCTTCCAGAGGGACCAGATCAGGAAGACAGTCTGGCAGGGGGTCCCCAGCCGGGAAAAAGGGTATTTGGTCAAACTGCCCACTTTTCAGGCCTTTAATCCCAGCACTGGGAAGGCAGGGACAGGCTTCGGCTACATAGAGAGTTCTAGGCCAGCCAGAGATACATACTGGGACCATGCCTCAAAAATAAATACACGAATGAGAGATGGCTCAGTGGTTAAGAGCGTTGGCTGCCCTACTAGAGGACCTGGGTTCAATTCCCAGCACCCACGTGGCAGATCACTGTTGTCTGTAATTCCAGTTCTAGGGGATTTGACACAACACATGTGAAATTAAATTATTTAAAAGATAAAATATAAACAAACAAGCAAACAAAAGAGTTAGACAGAGCCATGGCTGGTGGCTCAGACCTGTAATTCCCACACTCAGGAAGCTGAAGCAGGGGAATTGCCATGAGGTCAGCCTGGGCTGCACAGTAAAACCCTGTCTCAAAACAAACAAACGAAAACAAAACAGACAACCAAAGAAAATACAGGACCAGAAGGGAAAGGCGGTTGAGGGAGGGAGGTCTGTACAGTGGTATTCCACAGGTGTAGCAAGCAGTTACTCACGACTGCGTAAGAACCAGCCCTGCAGGGTGGCTTCAGACAGCAGTATGCTATTTCTCATTGTTCTTCAATTGCCTGGATGGTTCTGCTTTCCATGGTACCAGCCGAGGATCACTTACACAGCTGCAGTGATCTGGAGGCTCAATAGGTGAATGTCCCACGAGGACATCCATTTGAATGATTCTAGATAATGACTGGGGGGCTCAGCTGGCCGCTGTTCCATATTCTGCTGGGGCTCTTAGTTTCTCTCCATGGCTGCCTTGGGCTTCCTTACAGCATGGCAGCCTGGATTTCATTGATCAGCATCTCTGACTGATGGAAGAGACGTGGAGAGCAGCTGCTTTAGGTAAGGTGGGCAGGGCGGGTTGGCCTCTTAGAAATGGAATTCGGTAATCTTCAGGCTGAGCTAGGAAGAGCTGTGAAACCAAGGTGGTGGGAGCAGCCACCAAAAACAGTCTGAACTACGAAGTCAGTACATTTGACGGAAAAGCCAAGGGAGGAGAGGAGCAGGCAAGATGGTTCGGTGGGCAGAGCCATGTATGTGGGCCCTGTGCCCTTGACATTCAAGTGGGACTTTCACTAGGTGCAATGTGGTACAAGATGGTGCTGCATGTCGTGGGCGTGGCAGCCAGGTGCTAAACTGCTGTTCTCAGGCTGGACCAGTGGAGACAAAACTCTGCTCTCCTGGACTGCCTTGTGGCCTGGGAATTGAGGAATATCACTATGCTGAGCGTGATGACAGACCTTTAATTCTAGCCCAGTTGGGAGACAAAACAAGTGAATCTCTGTGAGTTCAAGGCTGGCCTAGTCTATGGAGAGATCCAGGCCTTCCAGGGCTACATACTAAGATTCTATCAAAAAAAAAGGGGGGGGCTGGTTAAGAGCACAGTTGCTCTTACAGAGGATCCCAGTTGGATTCCTAATACCTACATGATGGCTTACAACTATCTGTAACTCAGTTCCAGGAAATCTAACCTCTGGCCTCTGTGGGCACCAGGCACGCACAATACATACATGAAGGCAAAAGACTCGGACATATAAAATAAAATAAATAAATCATTTTGGGGGGGGGGCATGTTTTGAGACAGGGTTTCTCTGGGGCTTTGGAGGCTGTCCTGAAACTAACTCTTGTAGACCAAGCTGGTCTCGAACTCACAGGGATCCGTCTGCCTCTGCCTCCCTAGTGCTGGGATTAAAAGCATGCTCTACCACCACCCGAACGGTGTGTCAATTTTTTTTTTAATTGCTTCGAGGTCATTTAATCCTTGTCAAGATACTTTGCATACATTGTTGAGTGTGTCAATTTTTAAAGAGACAAAGACTTGAACACACTTTATTAAGAAGATACACAGATAGCGGTAGGCTCCTGGCAGCATGTTCAACATGCTGTCAGAATATCTAAAATTAACCGGAAGTGATGGTGCACACCTTTAAACCCAGCACTAGGGAAGCAAAAGGCAGGGGAATTTCCATGAATTTAAGGCCAGCCTGGTCTACAAAGCAAGTCCCGATAGCCAGGGCCACAGAGACAGCATAAGACCCTGTCTCAAACAAACCAAAAAGAAAATCTAAAATTAAATGGTTGCACATTGCCCCACATGCTGGCAAGAGTGTGAAGCGATTGGAACTCATTCGTTGCTGGGTAGAATACAAGCTCAAGTAGGGACTTTGGAAAACAACTTGACAGTGTTTTACATTCCATATGGCCCGAGAATTCTGCCTCTGGCTATTGTTGTTCAAGAGAAATGAAAATGTCTTCTCCACAAAGCATGAACATTTGTAGCAGCATTAGTCATAATATCCAAACATGGAAACACATGCATGACTACATATCCATTAATTGGTTAACAAAGAAAGAAAATGTTATATACCCTATAATAGAAAGAACATACCATAGTAAACTTCAAAACCATGCTAGACTTGGCAGGGCGGTGCATGCCTTTAGTTCCAGCACTTGAGAGGCAAAGGCAGGCATATTTCTGCAAGTTCAAAGCACCCTGGTCTACACAGTTTCAGGACACCCAGAGCTACATAAGGAGACCCTGCCTCAAAAAAAATTTTTTTTAATTTATTTGCTGGTGAGCACAATTATATACTTTCTCTTTTCAGTTTTTTGGCGGTCTTTTTGTTGTTTGTTTTGTTTTTTTCAAAACAGGGTTTCTCTGTGCTAACAGCTCTGGCTGTCTTGGAACTTGCTTTGTAGATCAGGCTGGCCTTGAACTTAGAGATCTGCCTACCTCTGCCTCTGCCTCCCAAGGGCTGGGACTAAAGGTGTGTGCCACCACCACCAGGCTAATTGTTCACTCTAATCCCAGAACTTGAAGGGCTAACACGGGAAGATTGTAAATTAAAGGGCAGCCTGGACTATAAAATGAGACCCTTTCTCAAAACAAAAACAAAAACAAAAGCAAGAACAAAAACAAGACCACCACCAAAGATGGAGGCTGGAGATGGCTCAGTGGTCAAGAATATTTACTGTTCCAGGGACCCCAACTCCAGTAGGTTCCCAGCACTTATTTCTGATTGCTCGCTACTGCCTGTATCTCTAACTCCAGGGTTCCAGTGCCCTCTTCTGTCCTCCTCGAAAACACACACAGAGACACACACACACACACACAAATAAAAGCTAAAAATTAAGAATATTCTAAGGGGAGAGATATAAAAAGCCAAGCCAGGCTCATCCCTGTAATCCCACTGCTCTGGAGGCTGAGGCAGGAAGATAATCAGATAGGAGATGGCTTGATCAGCCACATAGTGAGACCGCCATGTAAAGTGACAAAATGAGCACACTTTATATTCATTTATTTATTTGTTTGTTTTTGATTTTGGTTTTTCTAGATAAGGTCTCTCTGTGTAGCCCTGGCTGTCCTGAAACTCGATTCGTAGACCAGGCTGGCCTCCAACTCGCAGAGATCCACCTGCCTCTGTCTCCCAAGTGCTGGGATTAAACGCGTGCTCCACCACTGCCTGGGTTATTATTCTATTTACATGAACTATTCAGGAAAGGCAGTCTATGGATAGAGAAAGCAAACCAGTGCAGTGGTGGCCTGCAGGGACTGATAGAAGCAGGCTGAAGGGACCTTGGTGAATGGACTCGGGCATTAGTTTGCACAAGCCTATAAATGTATTAAAAATGCAAATGTAAAATGTGGATTTTTGCAGTGTCTAAATATACATCAATAAAATTCTTCAAAGGAAAGAGCCAGGGATTGGACAGCCTGAGCCTTCCCAGTGCCAGAGTACGTGTATCAGCCATTTCTGGTTGGTCAGGACCCCCAGTGGGACTGGGAGAAGCCTGAAGAGTTGTTGAGGAACTGAAGCCCACTTTGAGTAAATACTCCAGGAGACAAGTGCGTCCCCCAAGCTGAATTCTTCC